AAAATAAACATTCAAACGCGCCTCGGATTAACTAAATCTAAACAATTCAGCAAAACTTCGAATATCTAAAGAAAATACAATTCATAAATACATCTGGCGAGAACAAGATCCAAGTGTCCAGCAAAAAGCTGTCATAAAACTAATACTACGAGACATTTGATACGGCCTCGCCACAAAGCATCTATCGATGACAGTTCATAATACTTCTGGCATAATCAAAGCATAAAAATATAAGCAAAAACCACTTCGTCTTACATCCGAAAAAGGGATATAAAAGGCAACACTGCACGCATACGCTGTTGTCAAACCCAGCTACATGTGGCTCGGATAGTGAAGCGAGAATGTGCCAAAGAAGTCCCCCTCATGGTGGGTATGCAAGTAAGAAGCACTCTGATTGGAGCCGCCAATAATGAAAGAATGAATTCGTTTGGAGACGCCTAGAAAGAGGCGCTCTGATTAGAAACGCCAAGAAGCAGGAAATTCATAAAGACCACGCGGTGGCCGAGAATGCCTTCAAGAAAGACGCCAGCAAGAGGCACGAGAGTCTCTTCTCACGAGAGAAGCCGGAAAGGCTTCTTCTCCAAGGGAACGCCAAATAACAAGGATGTAGACATACACAGTAAAGGCCGATTAGGAAGCAAAGCCTAGTCATATCCAACTCATAACAAGTGCAAGATAAGTGCAAATCAAATCATACACTCGCAGCAGTGCAAGACAAGGAAAAAGGAACAAGTAAACAGTGGTGTACAAGGTACAACATAATCACAACCTACAAGGAGCCGTTCGAGACAAATTCAGCAAACAATACGAGGCATAGCCAGAAAAACACAAAACATAAACTACAAGCTGCCGCACCAGGCACAACCTGCAGACATCACTAGCTGCCATCAAGAGCACAAAATCTGCAGAACTCACAAGGTAAAAGTTCCATTCCTTAATAACGATAATAATGCACAATATGTCTTACAAGGTAAAGAACTGTAGAGCGACAAAGCTCACACAATCTGCAAACGCATAAGGGGCAAGTTTAGCTCCTACAAGAAAGACTTACGAGGCGCCGTACGCAGCAATATCTGCAGACTAAGATGAAGTGCCACCAAAAGTGCACCTGCAGAGCCTTCAACGTAAGCAATAAGACAATACCAAGGCAAATTCAAGCTACTGCCACGTGTCACTGCACAAGGAAGCACGGTGGTTTACGACCCTGTTTTTCTACGTGAATAACACCACCACCACGTACATTACATATAGAGGACCATTATTATTGAATACATACACAATCCTGTCCACTTGCCCGCAATCCTCCCTTCCACCATCTGGGAATTTATACCTAACTCTAGATATTTGGCCCTCCTAGCCCGATACTCTATTTTTAGACAAAATTATAGGTGTTGACATAAAATTATTTATGTATATATATAAAGAATCTTATAATGTTTTAGAATTAAGTTGTTGCTTTTTGTATATTTTTCACAAGCATAAATTTGAATTATGTTCAATATTTCAACCTGTTCAGAATTGGAACTCTTTCCAAGATGATTGGCTCTCGGTATTTTATAATCCTTCTAGCTCTCGAATTTTTGTAAACATTTGATTCCTAGAATTCTCGAATATTTTAAAGCTTTGGTTTCGAACGTCCTACAATGTTTATTTGGCCTCCGCATATCAACGTCGGTTGGAATTATCCTACCTTCTAAAGCGTTGCTTTCCCGGAGATCTCGAAACTTCTAAAACTATATTCTTGAACGTCCGTAAGTTAGTCTTGTCTCTGCATAGCAACAGCTATTATATTTGACGCGTGGATATATAAAGCAAGCACTCTACGGCCCTCGGTCTCTTTCTTAGTGAAGATGCCATGACACGGAACACTGTCTGTCTTAGCAAGATTATCATGGAACAGGCGCTCTTTATTAGCAGAGCCGTCACGGAGTGAATACACCATCCGTTTCGTGTGTGTGTTCAACGGTGTTCGGAAAATAATCCCACAATTTGACTAGTCAGCCAAACGTGCAATAATTAACTTAGAACAATAAAACCCACTAGATGTTATGTGGGGTTGCCGGACAAGTAAAGGGTGAATGCATTGATTAATAATTAACACATGTCTTTATTATTTCTATTTATTTGAATTGATTTACAAAAGGGTGAATTACAGACGAACTTTATATTTCTTGATAATCTTGTGGTGTTGAAATATATTTACTATGAATGAAGCAGGTTATAATCTATTGAATATTATCACTAAGAGGTTATCGTTGGACTTTATCCGTCCGTCTTCTACATAAGCCGAGAAATCAAGAATGAGTACTAGCTGTAAGGACTTACTTGCAGTGTATCGTGATTTTCCAGTCTCTCTTCGATGGCTTGTTATTACGTTCCCTTGCAATGTTGCAACCCTTCAGTTCTTCCTTGTCTCCAAGTGAGACCACAAGTGGTCAGGTCCCACGCAATCCAGTCTTGATGAGATCAATTCAACTGTACACTAATTCACAATAGTGGAAAGAACTTATTATTAAAACTCAGCTAGCTAAACGACTCATCTCTCCGGTCCTCCTCCGTGAGAGTTGGTCGTGACTTATCCTTCACTGTAAGAAGTATTTGGAAAGAGTAAGTGAGGGTACATTACGTAGTCCCTTCTTAAATGGTTCACTAATCCCGCTCCACTTGGGATTCCTTCTTCCTTTATTAATTAACAAATCAGAGGTTGATCTTGGGTCGCACAATAGATTATGCACGCCTTCATTTCCACTTCCTTCCGGGCTCAGTTCCGAATTTGCTAATCGGGAAAGTGTCGGAAGGTGGCGAGCCTTTTTCATTGGTCACCTCTCTTTGGTTGCCTCATCCCTCTCTGGGACTTGGCTAGAAGAAGGGTCCGCTTGGGCGTGGTCAATTTTCCAATACGATCGACCAGATGTGGCATAGCCAAGAACAATGCAAGCATTGTCTTAAAGGCCGAGTGCGCACGTATGGTCATTGCATGTTGTTGCACGTACGGGTTTTGGGTTGCAGTAAATATTTGTACTCAATGCTTTACGCATATCTGATATTCGTTCTGAATCTACTTTGGGGTTCTCCTGGCAGTAAACCCATTAGGTTCTACTGCACTGGAAGTATGAGCACGTTCCGCTAGAGTTTTCCAGATGTTTTATGACACTAGTACAAATAATTATGAGCAGGAAAGTATTGAAGTCTTAAATACAATTTTCATGACATTACTTGTCAGATATTTTATTGCCTTACTAAACGGAGTCTCTTATTCTCAATCAAACGGACTACTATTATCTGAACTGCCAAAGAGAGAGCACGCTATCAATTAGGCAAGCATTCAAAAACCACACATGCAAGGAGAAAGTGTAGAAGGATCATTGCACCAACCTCCCCTACTACAGATGAAAGCAATCTCACGCATCTTGAGAGAGCACTCTCTCTGTCGCCAACCTCAAACAGTAAGCCCAAACACACAAGGTATTCACAAGTAGTCACTAACACGATCACCACACACACTGTTTCCGCACCATAACGCAAATCCGTCTTGCGGTGCAACCACACACTCCTACACTCTACAAGAGACCACAGAGTAGCACTACACCAAGAGGTAGAGAGATTTATGACCTTTCACTTCTCATTGTAGTAACCCACCACCAATCGCACTCCGTCCAAAGGATTCGGAGATTTACGACCTCCCACCTCTACATGTAGTGCATGCTACCACCAAGTGGAAATCATCAAGAAACTGCAAGGATCATAACGACTCTTATCATCAACTGAGAATCATTATAGTGTAGTTGTAAAATAAACGCAACAAACAGAACAAAAAACAGATCTATTCTTTACTGAGTAGGAGCATAAACCATTCCACTTATCCTCACTTTTCTCCAACCAGCAAACTGGTGGCCAAAGTCTAATCCAATCATCATGGTCCTTCGACCACCGGATGATTTGAATTCTAAACAGTTGTAATTTTGCTTAATTAAATATATACTAAATCAATAAATTTATTCAAATTCAAATTTATTCAATTAACTAATTTATTTTATTCTCATAAGGCCTTAAATGTCATGGCATAAAAAATATCTTATTGGAAATTTTTATTCGTTTAATTTCATGAAAACTTATTATATATTCATTTTGCAAATATTTCAAAAAGAAATTAAAATTTTTTTGTGAATCTCTAAACAAAATTACATATTAAATTAAAAAATACTCGTTTAAAAGTATTTAGCCTATGATACTTGATCATTTTTATTCTCCATTTATTCAATTAATTGTTAATTAATTAATTCTTTGGAAATAAAATAAGTTTTTAAATTAATTAATTTGTTAATAAATGCACTTCAGTTAATCTTTTTTGTTAATATTCAATTTAAATTTTGTCATTCGAAAAAAATAATTAATTCTTATAATAAACAACATTTCTAAATTTAAAAATCAATGTGATATATAAATTTATTTAAATGTGAATTGTACGATAATTTAACTTATTTAATTATGGTGTTATTAAATTATTTAATTAAATTGTAAATATATTCTATAAAGATAATCCGATTATTAATTTTAATGACTAATGAGAGAATTGGATTTAATGTATAAATATTTCTATTAAAAGTATGATATCCAATGAATTTGGACAAAAACAAAGAATGTTTTATCGAAGCAGTCAAATATTTCAAAGCAATACCAAAAAGCTACTTTATAACATACTTTATAATGATGGTGTCAGATACAATGTAGTCTTTGTACTAAAAAGTTTCGCGAATAATATAACAACTTGAATTAATTGGCATCGGCTGTTCCATTCATTCGTGTACATAATTGGAGCTTGAACCCACAAGGCAAAATT